AGACAAATGGTAACATTCCATACAGGAAACATCACAGCAAAGGCTCAGAGACAGGAGGAACAGGTGGATGTGAATTAGGGCTGGAAGTGTAGAGGAAGTCCACGTGAGTCCAGGCCAGACCAGAGAGAAGATCCACTGAGGACAGTGGTTGAAGGGGAAACTCTGAGCTCCAAGTTGAGGGTTTAGACCTCATCCTGAAAGCAAATGGAAGGCACTGAAAAAATTAAGACGAACTTTAGAACAACCCCCGCCCCAACCAGCCACAGGGCTCCACAGATAAGGAGTCCCTGGGGGACCCTATGAAGCTGAGGGCACCTGAGATTAGGCTCGTGCAGCACCACACTACTGGGAAGTTTCTGGGAGAGAAAAGAGAAATAACAATACCTAACATATATTGATGCCAGACAGTGTTCTTAGCACTTATTCAAAGTCATTTAATCCTCTATGAAGAAGGTATTGTTACTGGCATTCCCATTTTACAGATGAGGAAACTGAGCCATAGAAAACTAGTGACTTGCCTAAAGTCATGGAGCTACTAATGGGAAGATCTGGGCTTTGAGCCCAGGTGGTCTGGCTGCAGAACTCATTCACTGAACCACTGCAATGTTACCTGAGCCAAGCTGGTGGCAGACAGGGGTCTAAGGTTCTGGAGGGTATGGTGCCTGGGTATATCTGCCCCCTCCCATCCTTTCATTTACAAGCTTCCAACATGGCCGGGCTTCTTCTGGTACTGCCGGGATTGGCTTTATTCACCCTCTCAGCTTAACAAAGTGAAAATTAATATTTAATTGTTCTCCTAAATGAAAATCGATGGCCCTCTTGGCCAGCTCCAGCAATGGCTGTGCCATCAGCCTTTCCTCTGGGCCTGCCAGGAGCAGCAGCAGCTTTAGTCACCTGGCCTCAGGCCCACCCACAGGGAACAGGGGAGGGTGCCCAGATCTCTGTAGGCACTGGGTCCTGGGCATACCTGCCATCTGCTGGAGGAGCAGGGACAAGACTTCAATCTGGGCTCCTACTGGATGGAGGCAGGCAGGACTATCACTGTGGGACCAGGAAAGGTTGGGTCAACCTTGAAGAGTAATCCTGAACCCCTAGGAGAAATGTCATGGTATCTGTTGGGCTGGAGCCTCCCCTCAGCATCCCCTCCACCAGCCCCCTGCTAATTTCTGTCACATATCAAAGCTTGGCTCCCTAACTTAGGATGTCCTCAAACCTCAGTGATCTGTCCCATCTTCTGCAGTTTCCTTCCCCTGAGGATGGAGCTACATCTTTTAGCCTCACTTTAGGCTCCAGAATCCACCTGAAGAAAGTGAAGCCCAACTTGTCTCTCTCCATGCTTGTGTCCTCCTTTCCTGTGGGCAGCTATCCCTTCACACACTGTGAAGGAAACAGGCACAACTAAGGATATTTGCTTTTGCAGGTCATGACCTGCACAGAACAGCTTGAGTGGAAAAGGCAAATGGGGGCTGAAATCCAGCCGTGCTCTGCTGACCAAGCCATACACATTATCCCAGGACTGTCAGCCCAGAGGAAGGGGCCCATTTCCCCTAACTTGTCTGCAGAGTTGCCTCTTTGTAATTCACACAAAGACACTATATGTGCTAACAGCTGCCCAGTGAGTGAGTTGGAACCTTTGCCGTCAAGGAGCTTCCAGCCCAGATATAACTTATTGCATCACAGTGGGGTTTACATCTGGGCACATAAAAGAGGCATCAAGAGGGAAGAGGGAGGAGATGCTCCACAATGGAGATGCTATCTGAGCCGAATTGTGATCATACATCATCACGTTTGAGGGTCTAGAAACCTGGAAGACAAAGACAACTTCTGGAATTCTGGGGCCAGTGTGAGGACTGGCAGGGAAGGTGCCCCGCAGAGATGGCTAAGGCTCCAAGTGAATGGAGAGTAGCAGCCCAGGGGGCAGGACTCACAGGTTTTGACTCCTAGTCTTAGGATCTTGGGCTTTACTGGGAGGCTTGCAATGGGGAACTATGGGTGGATTTTGAGCAGGGAAGAGTGAAGAACTGGTATCAAAAGATCCCTTTGGCTGGGTAGGTGGGAGAGGAAGCAATGCTGAAGGCAGATGACTCTTTGGACACTGTTGCTTGAGTGCAGGTGAGTGATGACTTTGGCCTGGAGCTGGGGTTAGGCAGGAATGGAGAGGAAAGGGTGGACTTGAGAACTATTTAGAATATGCCCTTAGATTCTAGAACCAATGGCACGTGGCAGTGGATTGAATTAGAGGAAGGGGGTGAGGCAGGACAAGTGCTGAAAATGCTGAAGTTTCCTGTTTCTCTGCTCCGCTCTTTCTTGCACCCACGACACCTCTCCTAGACCCACCAGTAGTCCCTTCCTTGGGAAGGTCCCAATAAATACTCTTCTCACAGTGAGGGGAAGGGGCTGAGGGCGTGAGTGCTGAGTGAAAGGAACAGCTGGCATCAGGACAGAAGAGTCTGCAGAGGGCAATGCTGAGCCCAAAGGCAGGAATTTTAGGCAAGACAAGCAAGGAGCAGGGGTAAGGTCTTGCCTTCCCTTCTGCTTACAGAGCAGAAGGACCAGGACCTCGTATGTGTCGGCGCTGCCTCTGACCTTCTCCACTCTAGTGCCCGGGTTGGGTTCTTCTCGTCTCTTTCTTACACGCTCCCTTGAGCTCCCCTCCAGGGCTGGGTCCAGAAGCAGGCATGAGCCCGGACCTGGGAAACTCCCAAGGGAACAGACGCTCAGCCAAGGGCAAGAGCTCCCTTGAGGTCCCATGACATGACAAGTACTTGGCCAAGGAGACAGTGCCTTCTTTTCCTCAAAGAGGAACGGTGACTACTCCACCCCGTTCGCACACCCCTCCCCTGGCTGTGGCAGGAATGAGGCAGGGTAAGGTTGTCCAGGTAGCTCACAGAACATACCTAAATCCTGCGTGTCCGCCCTAACCACTTCCCAGTGGAGACTGAAGGCCCAGAGTCCTGGGGAGCATTGCTCTTCCCAGCTCTGTCCTCATCATCTTGGGCTCCTCCCTGGGGGCTCCCCTAAGCCTCCTAGCTCCCAAACTGCCAGCTCCCCCAACACCTAAGCCATAAACCTGAGAGTCAGCCAAAGTTCCCTCCTCTCCCTTGTCCCTACATCCAACTGAACTTCAGCCCAGTTAGCTCTTCCCAAACATCTCTTGAATCTGTCCATTTCCTTCTGCCCTGGTCCAGGTCACCCTCACCCTTCACTCGTATCACTGCTTACTTTTTAGTTTCATATGCTTCCATTTAACACACACACACACCCTCAAAACAAACAAATAACTTACTACATCTGGCGCACCTATTAAGACCTAGCCTTTGTCATTTGCACCACACCTTTGCAAGGTAGGATCATGATTCTCCCTTTATTAACATGGATACTAGGGCTCAGAGCGCCTAAGGAAGTTGCCAGTGACGGAGCCAGGACTTACATCCATGTCTATCTGACATGGAGGTGATTTTCTCTACCCTGGATCCCTCAGTGTCAGGTGCCCGCCAGAAAACCCTTGCTCCTTCAGGCTGGCAGCTCCCCCTCCATATCCCAGTCCTCTGGAGTGCTCAGCCCCCAGTCCTATCTGTCCCATGATCGCCACAGGGTCCAATGACCTCAGTCCTGCAGGACCCAGGTCAAACCCTGCCTCCACCATGAAGCTTTCCCTGAGCCAGCCTCTCCGGATGGAGTCAGCCTCTCCCGCAGCACTTTACCTTACACTCCTCCTAAGGTCCTAGTCCCTCTGTGCCTCATTATTTGTGTTCATGTCTTAAGAACGGAGTTGAACAACACAATGCAAAAATCATGGACTTCAGGTTCAGACAGACCTGGAGGCAAATCCCAGCTCAACCACTTACCCACCACGTGATCCCAGATAAGTGATTTAACTGCTCTCAGCCTCGGCTTTCTCATCTATACTATGGGAACAGTGGCATTATCTTGCAGACCGGTCGGAAGGAATTTAGAGACAATTATGTAAAGTGCCCCAGGAAGGGCCTGCCACATAGTGGGCTCTCAGGAAATGGTGGCACTGTCTTCCCCTCTGTGAGCTTTTGAGGACAGGGTCCCAGGGTCATTGCTGTCTCCCCTGAAGGGCCCAGCGTGGGGCTCTTTGCAGGGTTCTGGAAATATTAGCAACATGCCTGAGTGGTGGGAAGTCTAGGTGTCCAGCCTACGAGACCCATCCTCTGCCAGGTCCACGTGGGACATGTATGTACCACCTCCATCAAAGAGTGGGGAGTCGGGGAGGGGGAAAGGGGCAGCCCCCAGAGCACCAATGAGCTCCATGTCCCCAGAAACCCAGCCAGGGAGGCAGCTGCCATAGAAACCACTGCTGTCACATGGGCTCATCTCTCTAGGCTCCAGAGAGAAATTCTCAGGATATATTTAAGAACTAATAAAATAATGATGGTCTTGCTCACCCTCGCTGCCCCCGCAACCCAGGCTTCTACCTTCCCTTCTCCCCTGCCACACTCCTCCCTGCCTTTCTTGTACCCCTTCCTGAACCTCAGCCCCTCATTTCCTTCCCATATTCACCAGTATTTCTCTCTTTCCTTGCCCCTTCGTAGGTCTGTCTCTTACTCTCTCATCATTTCTGTCCTCCTGTGTCTCTTCGCCTCTCCCTGTGTCTCTACTCTGCATGGCTCTGTCTCTTGGTCTCTCCTCCACAATCACAGGTGGCCATGCCCAGGGACGGGTCCCGTCCTCCTGATCCCTGGTCCAGGCCAGTCCAGACCTGTCCAGCTCGCCCTGATCTGCTTGGATTGATCTGTCATCCCCTGTAGACTGCAGCCTGAGTCCTGTCGGTGTCTCGGCCCCCACCCACAGCCTGGTACACAGCAGGTGCTCCACCACCAGCGGGGGGGTGTGTCAGAGCGTATAAGAACCTGAGCCCTGGTGGGAGGGGGACTGCGCTGGTTCAGGCTTGGCCTGTTTTCCTTTCCTTTCCATTTTTTTTAAATGAGCCCTCCCCGCTCCCCCACCCCCAAATTTGATCCAAAGGAAATTGCTCAACTGTGACTGCCAGGGCGTTACCATGGTTACTGGGTAGCACTTGTGGCTATGGTAACAGGAAGCTGCCTGTTGTCTTGGCAACGAGCACATCGGTAGGGGATGGAGTGGTCCCTGATTGGTGCAGAAGCATTGCATTTCCTGAGGGGAGGGGGTCAGATCATCACCTTCTCAGGCCAGATGGGCATCAGTACCCCTTCCTCCATGAACAGGAAGGACGCTGTTCTTTCCTCCCGGCACTCAGCTATCTGCCCCCAACAATAATTCCTCACATCCTACGCACCCAGCTCTTGGCAGTTTACAAAGACCTTTTGCGTCCCCATTATCTCATGTGATCCCCACAACACCCATGAGAGGAAGGTGAGACGGGGATCCAATCATGAATTCTCTCAGGGTGGCTGGGGGATGGGAGTGGGGGCGGTGTATATCGAAAGCACCGAGGAGCTGTTACAAATTATACATCCCCCAACTGGATACGGTTCCCAGGTGATTCTTCTCTGCCCCTGATCAGGGAACCCCTGAATCAGAAGGTGAAATCGGTTGTGGGGGAGGGTCTGGAGGGAGGGGTCAAGCTGCTTTCCAGGTTTAGAGCCTGGATAACTGGAAGGATCGGGTTTGGACAAAGAGGTCAGCTCTGGTTTGGGTGTGTTGAGTGGAAAGCGCCAGTGGGACTTTCTAGTCGGGATGTCCGGCAAGCAGCCGGCACACGGGTCTGAAGCTCAGGAGGGAGGTGTGTGCCAGAGGTGCTGCACTCTGAGTCATCCCCGGGGGGCAGGAGCCGAGGCTGTGGGTGCGGATGAGTTATCCAGGAAGAATGGGAGGAGCGGGTGTGCAGGGCCGAGGATGGTGGCCCGGAGACTCAGCATCCCCAGGGGAAGAGGGCCCAGGAGGAGGCGGAGCGGGTGACACAGAAACCTGGAGAAGGCTTTCCTTGTCTGACAAGTTGAATCAGAGAAGGTGGCTTACTTGAAGTCATACAACCACTAAATGGCAGAGCTGGGGCTAGACAGCTCTGATTCCCAGACTGTCTCATCGAAGTGACACACAGAGCTATATTCCCAGCTTTAGACATAAAACATAAATCTGAAGATCCATTCTATCCTCCTACCCAGCTCCTCCATGCAACGCCTTTAAGAAAGTCCAGGAGCCAGAGGCACAGGCCTCACGTGGTCCCTGCACAGGGTCAAAGGAGGGAGAATCTGTTTAGCCTCCAGTCCATCCTCTGCTTCCCACGGAGCTTCTGATCACCAAATTCTTCAGGCTTCAGCACCTTCTAAATTCCTGGGTTTAAGGGAGGGAATTTGGAGAAAATCTATAGTCCCCGAGTGAGAGAGCTAGAGTGAAGAGTTCACAGGGGCCAGGGCTTGGATGCCGAGGTGTCCGGGGGTGGGGAAGCCGGGGCCCTGGGGCCAGGCAGTCACACTGACTGGGTGTGTTGGTCCAATGTCTTTCAGATGAATCGTCCCATCCAAGTGAAGCCGGCTGCCAGTGAGGGCCGAGGAGGTAATTTGCCTGCTTGATGCACCTCAGGATCTCATCCATGTAGGGGATGGTGGGCCCCCCCTGGAGTCAGTCCCACCCAGGCTTTATTACTAGAGTCTCTTTGGGTCAGGGGGACAAGTAAGGGCCAGAGTTACTCAGCACCAGAACAGCTCAGCCATCCCAGGTCAGACTGAGAAGGGATGGGGTCCCAGGGTCCCCAGACCCAGACGAGGCAGGAGGTAGAGGCTGGACATAGAGGAAAGGAGTTCTTGCCACCTTACCCCTGGAGAGAGTTCATTCCTGTTTTTAGAGGCGGAACTTCCAGGTCTGTTTGAAGAACTAGGCTAGAGTTATTTTCCTTTTCTAGATTCTTCTGATTACAGAGAACCCAGTCCAGTCTGGGTTGGAGCCACTTGCCCCTTCATTGCAATTGCCTGGTTGGTTACTCGTGGTAAAAGATGAGACTGGTAAGACAGATCTTGTAGGCCATCTTAAGGAATTTGACTCTATGCTGAGGGCCATGGAAAGTCTTTGAAAGTTTTTTAGCTGCATCATTTCCTAGTACAGAAAGACTGACACTCCTTAAGCACAGGAGGGTTTGGGAGCCTGTACTTTTTAACAACCATCAACATCTTGGCCAGCTTTCATACTGGAGAAGCAGTACTAGCTTCCAGCGACAACTCCTGACATCCTTCTTGCCCTTGGGTGTTACATCAGTCCGAGCTACCTGCCTGCAGCCCTCCCTGAAGTCCGCTGACTTCCCCCCAGTAAGACTCCTTCTCTCCCTTGGAGGGACCACGGCTTTGTTAGGTAAAAGAAGCTGCCCGAGATCAGGGAGAGAATGGAAACCAATTGACAGACATTCGTTAACCTGCACAGCCCTCCAGACTCCATGCTCAGCGTCCACACCTGCAAGGGATGCTCACAGCTTCATAGTTCCATTGTGGAGTTCTTTCCTCCAAGAAATCCTCTCTTCATCCTTTTAGATTTTCTAACCTCTGGTCTTTGCTTCTCAACTTCTGGTCAAGATGTTATCACCCTACTTTGTCTTGAAGCAATATTTCCAAGCTTCTACTCTCCCCTCCAAATACACATCCTCCTTTTCCATCTCATTCTTCCCAGATTGGTTTTTGAGAAGCTCCAGGCTGCATACCAAACCTCTGGTTCACTTGTCCCAAGAATTTCTGCTTCTTGGGAACCTGTTAAGCATCAAGGCCAGTGTTGGCCATCTCCTAAGCCCTGCCCACAAACACTAGACTGCCCCACAGGTAAGCGGCCACCTGAGAGCACTTGAGTGAGCTAAGAAGCAGACAGGCTGGGCTGCAGTTTGTTCAACCATCCAACCAACATCTTTTGAGTAACTGACTCCACATTAGGAACGCAGAGCTGAGCAAGGCAGACCTGGCTCCTGGCCTCACAGAGTTGGGTTATAAACCAGTAAACAAAGGGCGCTCAGTGCTTCTCAGGTCCAGCGGGGATTGTGGGGGCACGAACGTGGGGCACGTAACTTAGTCTGGGAGGTCAAGATGGGCTCCCAGAGGTAGTAATATTTAAGCTGAGATCTCCAGGATGAACAAGAAGTAGGCAAACAGACAAGAGAGGAGCGAGGGAGCAAATATTTCAGGCAGAGAGAAGTGCACTGGCAGTGCTCAGAACGTGATGCGACCTGGAATCTGGTCCAGGAACTAAGTCCACAATGCTGGGGGCATTCCTGCTGTTTGGAGCCCAACACATCTTGCCAGGGTGAGGGCCACCGCAAAAGGAGGCCTCCATGCTGATAATACTTCCTTAGCCTAGCCCAGATGTCCTGGTCATCTGGGCCCCCAGCAGTGGCATCAGCATGAGTTTTATCATTTTCCTACCCCACTGCGTACAAGTTTTTTTCAAGTGTCATATCATTGACAAATTCTGTACATAAGGCATCTCACCTCTACACCTGTTCACATTCCAAGCAGCTCAAGAGAACAGGCAAAGCAAATCTAGCTGAAAAGACGTCTGCCTGGCAGAATTCAAAATTTTAGTAGTTCCATGTACCACAGATATTTCTTGACAAGTGATGGCTCTTAAGGAGCATTTACCCCAAATGCAACCATGGATAATCCTTCTTGCAGATTTGGATGACCAGATCTCTCAATTCCTTCCTGCTCCCCCTCAGAGTCACCAAATGGTCCCTGATCCATATTTGGGAGAGGAGGCATATGTTCTAAATCTTGCAGAACAGTTGGGCCTTTACAATTTATAAGTATTTTACTACCAACTGATCTGTGTTGGATACTAACCAAAGTGTGCCCCTTTTCTTCAGTGCTGTCATGTATCTATTCTACTGTGAGTTCAGCTCTCTGCGGAATTTTAACACAAATTAATGCTTTAGAATCTCAATTTTTAAAATGGTATTGAATTTTGCTTTTGAAATGAAACATCTGACACCAGTGTAGGATAGCTTGTCCCATTTTAGTCTTAACTCTGTGACCCCAAGCAGTCAATAAACCTTCAGAGTTCATGGTCATACCTGCCCTGATACAGTTAAGCCTGTGAGCTTGCATATATTTTAATTATTCCTGAAATTCAATCCTTTGTTTACAGTTGATTAATAATGAATTCTATATCTGATAAAAATACTGACATCAAGGGTGTATCAAGGCAAATATAATCTTCCAAAATTTTGCCATTTTTTTTCCGGGAAGGGATTATTGTTAGATTTCTCTTCCCATAAAAAAGGGATCCCTAACTCAGTTGCTACAGGAGCAGGTAAGTAACCCTACATGAGCGAGACTGTCATGATATAATTAAAATCTTATATTTTAATTAGGTTAAACGTTGGCACCTAATTTAGTTTTTAAAAGTGGGCCCGCACTGTGGAAGCCTACCTGAGCCTGTCAGGTTTGATTCTTCAGCCCAGAGACGTCCATGTTTTCCCATCTGCCACGCAGGAGTATTCTGTTACGCACACATGAGCTTTCTGACAAATACGTCACTTTACATTCTATCTCTTGAATTTTGATGCAGATGCAACAGAGTAATATTACTCTTATTTTTTTAATCAACAGACATGAGGTTTGTGGTTGAAACAACCTATATTTTAAACATACTGTATGTTGTATTTTTTTAACATTTTTATTGATTTATAATCATTTTACAATGTTGTGTCAAATTCCAGTGCAGAGCACAATTTTTCAGTTATACATGAACATACATATATCCATTGTTGTATGTTGTATTATGTTCTGAAGGCACTGGTGACACTTGCATGTGCAATGCTTACTGTGCAGTAGAAGCGACACCACAAGACCTGCCTGATACAAGGTGCTGGGGTCTTCCTCTTCCGAGGCCGCCCCTGCAGCCCTGGGGGCACTGGGAGTGCATCCAGGTCTTCACGGACTATATTATAGCAGCTTCTCAACATACCCCAGCCCTATGTATATGTTTATACATGTTTCATGTATCCCAGTTCCTATAAATTCTGCAGCCAAGTTCCACACTGTTCATATACTCCATGCTCCATGCCTATATTTTACATCCTGTGGCATTGAACAGTACACTCTTAAAGGAAAACTAATCTAATTTTTCAAAATTAAATTATTTCATAACATCCTAAAGGCATCCATTTCTACATTAAATATGCATAGTGCCAAAGCCGCCATCAGACTAGTCAAGAGATTCATGAAAGACCTTCCCTGTCTTCTCATGTTCCTAAACAAAATGACCTCAGGTCCCTCTCCATACACCATGCAGAACTCTATTTCCTGTTTTAGGCCAGTGGTTTACAAGGTACTTTCCTTGGAGCCCCCCTAGGGAGTACCAGGGGAAGGTGAGACAAGAGGAATGCCAGTCCTCCTCCCATCTGTCCGGCTTCAGTCTGAGCCGTTCTGCTTTTCTCTTACATTTTGGGCTTCATCCTAATATTTTTGTTAGAACAGTGGATTCCACAGCTTTTTAAAAAGGCTAGGCAACCAGTGACCCATTCCGAGGGCACTGTTCTGTGGCAAACACTCCCAGGAGCGATGCACACCCTCTGAATTGTAGTCTCAGCACAGAATGGTGGTACCTCCACTAGAATTCCGGCCACAAGTACGTTATCCATTCCTTCCCTGTCAGGATTTCTGGGCAGTAATCCTCTGGACAGAGGGCAAGATTCTGCTGAACACATTCCGTCTGTCTCATGTACACCACAGCCCCTGCCCTCCATACAGACACAGCACTGACAGGCAGGAGACAGATACCAAGGTACCCAGGGCAGCCTAGGCTGAACCCCACACTGTCCAGGTGAAATGTGGATACGCACACATAGCCTTGTTGGACGCTCCCTCCACTGCTGATTTCAGCCAGTCTGTCCTTCCCTTTCACCATCACCCAAGCTTCACTCTGACTTTCACCAGCCTTGTTTCCCTTGTACTCAGGATCCAAGGACCCCTGTCAGCTCACCCAGATTCCCACTCACTCCTTCTCTCTGAACTTGTATCACCCTGATGAAGCCCTGTCTCCAATTCAGAGACTTGTCTTGGTGCAGAGATGAGAGGGGTTTTGACAGCAGGACATATGGGCTGGTCCCCCTGCTGCACCCTCCTGGGTAGTTCTCCTACGCCTGACCTGCTGGATGTGCACTGAAACCTCGTTTCCAGCCCCAGCTCTCCAGCTTTCTCCAAGGGCACAGGTCCATCTTGCAGCCTCCTTCCTGGAATCCCTACCACTCCCACGGGAAGGGTGGACACAGGGAAGGATCCTCAGGTGGCCATCTGGGTCTACAGGCAGAACTTGTTCTCCCATGGCATGAACACCTGGGGAGGGGTCAGAGCAGGGAAACGGGAAGTCAGAGAGGAGGCAGCAGGGCTCAGTGAGGGCCCTGAAAACTCAGTGAGGGAATAAGGAAGGTAAGGAAAGGGATTCAGGAAGTGTAGCAGGGAAAATGCCAATGCTGGAGGCTCAGGAACCTGAGTTTCCTGCCCTCTTTAGGCCTTGGGGTGGAGGCACCCAGGCTGAGTTTGGTGCTGGGGGTGAGGAGTCATAATTCCTGTGCTCAGTGTCTGGGGACGAGGAGACAACTGTTTTCTGTGCCTTTTTTTTTTTTTTGACCCAGAATCCTTGATTCTAGCCACTGCCATCAGCTGGCAGCGTGTGCTTGTCTTCTCCAGACCCAGTCTGAATATACAGGACTCCTTTGAGGACCCCCTCCCTTAATAGAGCTGCAATGGTCTAAAACAGCATTTCCCAAACTCCAAGAACAGAAAGGTCGAGCATAGAAAATGATGCATTTAGAGCTCTGTCCAAAAAAAAAAAAAAATATATATATATATATATATATATATTTTTTTTTACTGAATCACTTCCCACAAGAGCAGCAATGAGCCTTACTGGGTTTTTCCAGGACCCAGGTTTCCCTGATGGGAATCTGGAGTTCCCTTCCTCCTGATTTGCCTGTAGGTCATCCTGCCCCTCAAAGAAACTTCACCTGTAGCCCTGGGTGAGTAGGGCCTTCTCAGTCACTACACCTCTTCGAGAATTAGACTGTGGTTAACCACCCTCCTAAACGCCTCCTGCTACTCTGGGGAGCCCAAGAGGACTTGGGGTTCCCAGCTGACTCCTCGATTTGTCCCCAGAGGACCGAAAGCTGTTTGTGGGAATGCTGGGCAAGCAGCAGGGCGAGGAGGACGTCAGACGCCTGTTCCAGCCCTTCGGCCACATCGAGGAGTGCACCGTCTTGCGGAGCCCTGATGGAACCAGTAAAGGTGACTTGAGCTGACCCCTGGATTTCCTGATGACCCGTCTCACTCTGCACCACATGACGCTTTTGGCCTCTGTGACCTGAGCCACCTCTGTCCCGCCCCAGGCTGTGCCTTCGTGAAGTTTGGGAGTCAAGGGGAGGCTCAGGCGGCCATCCAGAGTCTGCACGGCAGCCGGACCATGGCGGTGAGGGCGGGAGCCGGGCCCCGGGTGCGGCCTGTGGGGTGGTGACGGGCTCCTCCTCCCCATATGCTGGGGGGTGGGGGAAGTGCCTGATAAGCCAGGCGCTCGGGGCTGGGGTCTGGACTGGTCATTGCACCCTCCCCTGCCTTGACCAGGGCGCCTCGTCCAGCCTCGTGGTCAAGCTGGCGGACACAGACCGCGAGCGCGCGCTGCGGCGGATGCAGCAGATGGCGGGCCAGCTGGGCGCCTTCCACCCGGCGCCGCTGCCGCTCGGGGCCTGCGGGGCCTACACCACCGCGGTAGGTGCCTGGCCCTGGCGG